GGCATGATGGCGCACGCCTTTAATCCCAGCATTTGGGAGGCAGAGGCATTCGGATCTCTGAGTTCAAGGCCAGCCTGGTCTACAGAGACAGTTCCAATATAATCAAGGGCTACAGAGAAACCCTCTCCCCCCCACCAAAAAAAAAAGAAAAGAAAAAGAAAAAGAAGAGATATAAAAGAACTTAATAAATCCTCCATACCACAGGTAGATTTTCTTAAAAAAAAAAAAAAGCTCTTAATAACATATTCAGAGAGCTGGAGAGATGGTTCAGCAGATAAGAGCACTTGCTGCTCTTGCAGAGGACTTGAGTTCAATTCCCAGTGTATCACCTATATCATCCAACTCACAACTGCCTGTAACTCCAGTGTCAGGGGACCCAACACTTTCTTATGGCTTCTGCAGGCACATATGTGCACATGCACATACATGCACAGACACACACACACAAATAATAAAAACATTCAGAAAAGTTTAAAGGTCTGGGGATATGTAGATGAGTAGAAGAATGCTTGCCTGCATGCACAAGACCCTGGGTTCAAAACACAGTACTGCCAAATACACACCACACACACACACACACACACCACACACACACACACACACACACACACACAGACACCAGTAAAATAGGATAGTACAGTTCGCCAGCTCTGACCTCTATTTAGTGTATGATACAGCCTCTAATTGGAGAACTCTCATTCTTTTTAACAGAATGTGGAACTCCACAAAATTTGGTTGTGTCCATAAAGCAAGCAATTCTCTCAGATTATTTTTTAAATTTAATGACTGTTTGAAAACAAAAGTAGTTTTGAGTAGTTGAGTAGCTGGAGAATCAGGAGCACTGGAAAGGGGGTTGATGGCTCCGATTCTCTGAGGGTGTGATGTGTGTTGCAACTCCAGGAGTTGAAGCGCAGGGTCATTGTTCTGGGAATTGAGTTTCCTCTGCCGTCTTCACACTTGCTGGGTTTGTTGAATGCCATTCCATTGTTGTGTAAAGCCAATCTCTGCAAGAACATCTTAGTGTTCCAACTAAATGCAAGGGAATGATCGCAAAGAAATACACCTGAAAACAAATTCTAAACCACATCCTATCTGTTTCAAAACCATATTAGCACTTCCTAAAAATTAACCAATTATGGGCAATTTGCAGAAGTATGGAAATGTGTGAGAAATGGCTTCCCGGGAAAATAATGTTTCGGCAAGAGATTTGTAAAGACCCAGCTAATATCACCCTAAGAATAGAAAAAAAATTAGAAGTCTAGAAAAAGAAAGTATATTTAATTCCTTGGCATCATGGAGGAAAATTGTGTGATTGTAGAAATCGTTGAATGGGGAGGCGGCTCATTTGGGAAAGTTCGGGCTGCGCAAGCATGAAGAGCTGAGTTCAGATCCCCGCCCCCACATGAAAAGCCAGCTAGGACAGCACATGTGTGTCCCCAGGCCTGGGGAGTGGAGACAGGAGGGTTCGCTGGGGCTCACTGGCAGGCCAGGCAAATCGGTGGGCTCTAGATTTGGCGAGAGACCCTGTTTCAAAAAATACGATGAAGAGCAATTGGGGAAAATACCTCTAGCTTCTGCACGTGTTTGCACGCAGATACACACACACACACACACACACACACACACACACACACACATCTTAGGAAGGAAGGAAGGTCTTACTGAGGTAAAGTAAGGAAAGATAACCAGATACAAGAACAAATCATGTGAGGCAGGGGCTTTTAGTCTTGTCTGCAACCATCAGTTCCTTGAACACATGAGATGTTTAGGGATGTTTATTGCAACAGAGAAAACAGGGATCGAACCTGACTAGATACCTACAGAGGATGGTCAAATGTGCAAGAAGCTCTATATGCTGCATGGGAATTTTTTGTTGTTGTTCAAAAGAATGACTTGAACCTAGGAAGATACTCAGGATATAAATTTGTGCAGAAGAAGGTGTGTTTTTCTGCCGTGTGTATATGTGCATGATCACACACACTCCTGCTGCTCTGTGTATTAGGAGGTCAGGGGACAACACAGAAGAGTCTCTTCTCTCCTAGTGTCACATGGGTCATCAGGCTTGCCTGGTCAGGTGGCAGGTGCCTTTACCCACTGAGCCACCTTGCCAGCCTCCAGGTATATATTTTCTATTTCCCACCTATTGCTTTACAAACAAGGGCAAAGCCAGGTTTGATGGCTGCAAATCCAGCACTTGGGAGGCAGAGACAGGCCAGTGTCTATGATCTCAAGGCAAGCCTGGTCTACATAGTGAGTTTTAGGTCACCCAGAACTACACAGTGAAACCCTGACTCAGGAAAAAAGGAAGGTAGAGAAGAGAAGATACTCAGAAATGGAAATGCTTAATGATGGCCAGCAGAAGATTGTAAATATGAAAATCCGTAGCGTGGGCCAGCAAGTCTGTGGCTCACACACACACCCTTGTTCTCCCTCCCTGCCCAGCCCTCCGCTGAGACAGTCACCAGTAATCTAGCCCAGCAGCTTTTTCCCCCAGGTCAAGATCAGGCTTCGAACCTTATCATCACAGGTGTGCTCTGCAGCCCTCCCCAGTGTTGGCAATTGCAATGTATGAAGAAATAGCTTGCTTCTAAGGACAGTTCTAATGTCAGCATGAAACAATGGGGCGTGGCAGTGAGGGGGTGAACTTCCCCTTTCTTTAATAGGAGAAGATCCAAAATGAGAATTCAACTTTGAAATGGAAAAGGTAGACTGAGAACACTCATTTGCTAAAAGCACTTGCTGCCAAGTCTAATGACCTGAGTTTGGTCCCTGAGATCCATGGGGTCGAAGGGGAGAACCAACTTCAGCAAACTGCTCTCTGAGTACCACACAAACTCTCTCCCACACACACACAAGATAGGTAAGGTTTGCTATATGCTTGATAAATCCTTGCACTTCAGAAGTGAGAGATGGTTTGAACCCACTGAAAAGAGCAGAGAGATCCATTTAAGGATGCTGCACGTACAAATAGCCCGCGGTCATCCCGCCGTGGTGCTGACAACAACTCATGAATCTTCAGAAGCCGCACAGACTCTCCCGCAGACAGCCTCACGCCAAGGAGCACATGACTTGTGTAAGCTAGAATTACAAAAAATAAATAAGCGCTGATCGGAGCACTGATGGAAAGCTGAAATATTTATATGGCAGCCCTTGAAAATGCAGGGAAAAGCTATTTGAAACGCACTCTGAGCTGTGCATTCTGTCAGTCCTGAAAGAGCAGGGGAGCGTGGATTTAGATGAATCTAGAAGCAGGCACTGTAATTCCCATCAAGGAGGCTACCATTGTTCCGTCCTTTGTGATAGATTAAAATACGAATTTAGATTAGTAAACTGATCAAGCTGTCTCCTATGTCAAGACACATGAGATGCACTGGCATTAAAGCTCGCCACAATGTGAGCGCCATCCAGAAAGAGAAAAATCCCCACTCACCTTTTACTGGATGCTTTCTTCTTGCTTCAAGTTTGTATCTGATACTTTGCACAGGTGCTCCTGTGGGCTTATTAGAGCGTGGAAGTAATGGTCCCACGAGGGGCTCGTGTGTCTTCCACCTCGCTGGCAGGACTTATAGGAGGCCATCAATTTTAAGACATAGTCTGATTTTAGGGATGTAAAAATGTGGGGGAAAAAATGTGTGTCTTGGAATTGATACAGTTGACACTGTCTGTGGCAAGCATGGGGTTGGGGGCGGGGAGATGCTTCTATCAGACTGATGTGGTTGGGTGTGACACCCTTACAGGAGTAGACAGGATGTCTCTAAGAAGGACAAAGCTGGCTGACAGAAGGCTGGTCAACTAGGACACTGGAGTATCCTTGGGAAAGGGGGGGGATGGCCCAGAATTCAGGAAGAGCATTCAAAGGTGACCGGTTAAATCCCCCACTTCTGTGGTCCTGGGGGGTCCACGGCACAATCAAATGCTTCCCCAGGACTGGTGCTACCATTAGACAAGGAGCAGTGTGCTCTTCCAGAAGGTTCTCCACACAGTTGGACCTTCATATCTAAAGGTTTCGTGTCTGCAGATTCAACATGATACAACTTAGAATCAACTAGAAAAAGGGTTTCAGAGCCGGGCAGTGGTGGTGCACGCCTTTAGTCCCAGCACTCGGGAGGCAGAGGCAGGCGGATCTCTGTGAGTTCGAGGCCAGCCTGGGCTACCAAGTGAGTTCCAGGAAAGGCGCAAAGCTACAGAGAAACCCTGTCTCGAAAAACCAAAAAAAAAAAAAAAAAGGGTTTCAGTGAGGGATTGTCTACACTCTACACTGGGTGGGTCTGTGGGCATGTCTGTGGAGAATTGTCTTAATGAAGCTAATTGATGTGGGAAGCCCAGCCCAGTGTGGGCAGCACCAATCCCTAGGTGGGGAGTTCTGAACTATAAATGGAGAAATGGAGCTGAGCACAAGCAAGCGAGTGAGCGTGTGCACTCTCATCGCTGTGTGATGTCATATGACCAAGTATCTCAGTAGCCAAGTGAGCATGCATACATTCATCTCTATGTATGATATCATGTGACCTCCCCACAGTGATGGAATGTAGCCTAGAACTATGAGCCAAGATAAATGTTCTCTACTGAGTTGCTTTTTGTTGGGATATTTTATCACAGCAACCAAAATGGCATTATAACAAACTGTAAATTGAAATATTTGAGCAGAAATTATCAACTGTACTAAAAATACCCATGCTTTTCTTGTCGTGATTCTATAAACAATATAGAATGACAGCATGTAATGATCTTTATGTTGTATGGGGCATTTGAATAATCCAGAGGAGACTGATGCATACAACAGGATTGCATAGACTCTAAGCAAACACACTCCCATTTTCCACAGGACACGCAACATCTCCAGATTTGATTATCTGGGGGATCCCCGAACACTCCTAGGCTTGACTGTAGATATTTGGTGATTGCATGAGGGTTGTCCTAAGTGAATGGCTGAAGGAATAGGCATGAGTTAGATTTTCTGTGACTCAAGATAACAGCTGCTCTTTTCCTTGTCACCCCAGAGAAACTGGAGAGTGAGAAGCTCAATGTGGCAGAGGTTACCCAGTCGGAGATCGCCCAGAAGCAGAAGCTGCAGACTGTGCTGGAGAAGATCAATGAGACCCTGAAGCTTCCTCCCAGGAGCATCAAGTGGAACGTAGACTGTGAGTTGTGCAGAGGAGGAGGGCTGTGAAATGACACCAGTCCCCACCACTGGGGACACCAATGGTGTCCCACCATTCCTAAGCTGTAAGGCCCATGATGCAAATTCATTTCTCTTTGAGAAGCACCTTCCTGGGAAAGCCAGTGAGCCTGCAGACTCTTGGAGGAAAAATAATAAAACGTCCATGTTAGCATCCCTTTATCTGGAAGGCTTTCTGTGGCAGCCTTGTGTGAGGTCAGCTCGGAAAGGAAACGACACATTCCTGGAGCCACTTCTGAGACCCACACAGCCCGCTGAGAGCGCTGCTGTCTCCAACATGTCCAGATACTGGGAAGCTGCAGCCGCAGGTCCACACAGCCTAGAGGCCAAGAGGGAGGCTTCAGTTCTGTCCCAAACCCCACACCCTGTCACTTCCACTCTGCTTCTCAGAAGGAGCAAAGATACTGCTGAGGTCCAAAGCACTAGCAAAGGGCTTGTTTTAATGTTTTACTTACTAGAGTGTGGGTTGGGGCAGTGGGTAGAGAAGTGGGGGAAGGCTCATGCCATGGTTAGGATCTGGAGGTCAGGAGACACCTTTGTGAAGTCAGTTCTCTCCTTTCACCTTCCCATGGACTCATTTGCTTGATTGCATCTGTCTACATAGCTTGGTTTCTCCACTTAGTACAGAACCCCTGCCTAGGGAATGCCTCCGCCCACACTGGGTGGGGTCTTACAGCTGTGCAGTCACTACAGTGAGGGGGGATTTTTTTTTCCCTAAGTTTGAAAAAAAAATTTAACTCTCCTAAGTGGTAGAGCCATTTAAAGTCTAATAAATGGGACGGGTAACCTCTGCCACATTGATTCACCTCAGTTAACAAGTCCACCACAAACACTCACAGGCCAACCCAGTGCAGTCAATCCTGCATCGTGTCAAGTTGACAAAGTCAATCACCAGGCTTTACAACAAGCACCTTTACATACGTAACCATCTTCCTTTCCCTAGAACAGGACTTTTTAAAGGTCTACCTTTCACTGCTACTGTAGCTCAAAAATATCAGAAAGTATAGACCTCTTTTTTTCTTTCTTTCTTT